CCCCCCAATAGTTTTTCTCTTAAAGGAAGATGCTACTGAAATTTCTATGTATTTAGATTCTCCATATACACAATGTTTTGTGTTATCACAGTGTTCAGCATGTTCATGGAAATGTTTGAATACGTTGTAAAACCCTATTTGACCTTTTAATAGATGGGCCAATTGCGTGTTCGGTATGTTTTATTTGCATCCGAACCCTATGAATTTATAAAAACTTTCACGATTGTAAGTTGTGCTATTTCACCCTTGAACTCTTTGTATCGTCTACTTCAGATGACGATTGCCATTTCCTATTGCGCCAGTCCCCAGCTCCTCTCATTAAGTCTCAATACACCCCGGGTGAACTGTATGTCTCAACGCTCCGTGGAGCCATTATTCCGATTTCCTGGTCTTGATGACCTCACAGACATGCCTCACACTCCCTTCCTAACTGACGTTTGTTGCTGCGTGGAGCTCTTGCGATCATGAAACCCGCCTTGTCCATGTGTGGAAAGAGCCATGTCGTTCCCCCGTTTGGTGTTCTGTGTATTTCACTCTTTTATGCAGCCATTTAGGAGTTGCGTCAGTTTGCTCCCTTGCTCCCGAGCGTACATTCGTGCCTGTATAATGTAAACTTTTTGTTTGTCCAACTTTGCTTGTTACATTAGCGTCCAACCCCAGTGGAGAAATAAAGTAGCAGGGGCTGGAAACTATGAAATTGGGCTGGTAATGCTGATGTATTGGTTCCCGGAGTTGTGGCCCCCATGGGGTGACTCTCTTGGGGGTCTCGGCCGTGATTGGCTGGTCTCCATGGGGGTGCTGCCTGGTGGATCTTGATTGCATATTCAGCAGCCGGCAACTCAGGGGAATGCACTCATCCTGCCCACAGCAGGTGCACTGGGGCTCCATTGCGAGACCCATAATTACGTTGGTTTCGGGCTCGGCTCCCTCGGGGGATGAAAAAATAAAACAAAACATAACAAACAAAACAAGCAAATATAGATAAAAAACGCTTCGCAACTTGAGGAAATTTTAGAAGGGAGAAAACTGAAAAGAGCAATAGCGATAGCGGCGGGGAGTAAGGTCATGTGGGGAGGAGGAAGTGGCGATAGCGAGGGAGGAGGAGGAGGAGGAGGAGGA